TCGATCCTCTGATCAATTGGCTGACATATTCACTAAAGCCTTACCTGAAGCGAGTTTCAATAAAATTCTGCAAGGCTTGGGAATGATGGAAGCAGAGTCGGTACCGAATCCTTAATTCAACACCTAAAAATTAGACAAGCGAAATGGAGCGACCGCTCGGTCTATTTCGGCTCCATAATTTTCGGGAACCGAAATGAACCGACCGCTCGGTCTATTTCGGCTCTAGAAATTTGAGGAACCGAAATGAACCGACTGCTCGGTCTATTTCGGCTCCATAATTTTCGAGAACCGAAATGAACCGACCGCTCGGTCTATTTCGGCTCTGGAATTTTAAGGAACCGAAATGAACCGACCGCTCGGTCTATTTCGCTTCATTCCTTTAAGATAAGGTTTCGGTTGTACATTTTGTTCAAAGAGTGTTTTATGCAAAATTATTTTCTTTTTCTGTTTTTATTATTTTTCAGAAAAATTCAAAAATCCAAAAATATTTTCTTTTTCTGTTTTTATTATTTTTCAGAAAACTTCAAAAATCCAAAAATATTTTCTTTTTTTATTATTTTTCAGAAAACTTCAAAAATCCAAAAATATTTTTTTTTATTATTTTTCAGAAAACTTCAAAAATCCAAAAATATTTTCTTTTTCTATTTTTATTGTTTTTCAAAAAATTTCAAAACTTCAAATTTTTTTTTTGTGTGGTGTATTTGTTTGTTTGTTCCTTCCATTAGGTCACACGTGTATAAGTGCAACAGAATTTGGAGCTAAGATAGGTATAATCATTTTCATAAGAACTAGTTAAGGGTCCCTAGAAGCATGCTGCTGCATGTTGACCAAAGCCTCTACGACTTAGAGTAAGGCCTTAATGATTCGATCTCTACCTATCGTTTCTTCCCAATCAGGCTGTTCAGATCCACTCAGTCTAGAGGTACCTTACTCTTCTCATATGAGTTAAGAGTTTTTCTGCTTAGTCACGTCTTTATAGCAGAAGGTACTTTCGGTTCCTTAACCACCCTCCTTACCTTCTCCATCAACTTTCGGCTCATCACTGTAACCCTTGAGACTCTCAGTTTTTACCACTGAGGTTTATGGTTGCACAAAATCTGTGTTTATGATCTTAGATATGTATACCACGTACTGAGTGAAACCCACAATCCAATACCAACAACGAATTGACGGTGAATTGTCATATTCAAGATGTTACTGGTTACCGAATGAAATCTCATTTTTATTTTTGAGTGATCTTTTATGAATTTGTCTAACACCAAGGCTTTTTCTTCCCATAAAGACCCAGTTTCTTTTTGTTTTTGAGATTTCTATATCTTCTTGAGTCAATATAAAATATATTCCACCTACTTGTTCAACAGACCACATCGGTCTCACAAGTACTTCTTCCAATGTTCAGTCTTATGTTAAGCATCGACGTTCGGTTGAAGATAAGCTACCTTAAGCATATGACTTAAAAATAAGCCTTTCAATGTTTCTCTACAAACATTTGATCGTTATTTCACGGGAACCCACACAAGCACTTCAAGCACTTCAGAGTAAGCAGTCCATTCCAAGCCGAGAACTCTTCACTTATCAGTTCAGTGAATTCTCGACTTGAATCTCTTCACGCTGATTTGGCGAAAGAAAGTGCTTTGAAGGAAGAACTTGCTCGCCAAACATCCATGGTTGAAGTACAGAAAGTGCAGCTAGCCCAAGCAGAAAAAGAAATTTCTTTGTTAAAGACCGAAAGAGCTGTTTTTTCGCAGCTGTGTAGGGGATGTGAAGGATATGCTCACCAACATTCTTGGTGCTCATGATCCTATCCTCACTTTAACCATTCGGAATCATCTTACAACAAAACTTCTTCCCGCCCTTGCATTGTTACACGAGATGAAGGGTGTTTCGGAGAGATTGCTCAACCGAAGGTTAAGACTGAAACCGAAACTGCTCAACCGAAGGTCAAAGTTACAACCGAACTGAAGGATAATGTAGCTTCAGGTTCTGGTCGACAAGAAAAGCAAAAGGAGATTGATGATGATAGCAGTAACGAATCCGGTGAAACTATTGTTCAGGCTCTTAAGCGAAAGAAGAGAGATAAAGAGCTTGATGAAACCTTGAAGGTTGCAAGGGACGCAGAGGAGAGGGAAAGGAGAAACAAGGAAGAAGAAGAAGCCTTGAACTGCAAGAAGGCCTTGTTTCCCTTATGGACTAAAAGAGGCACTTATCAATCAAGTTATAGAGTTTCCAAGTATTTATTGGTTGGAACCTGTTGCTTCTTTTGACTGTGATAATTCTAAGGACTCGCAGTTCGACATGCCAATCACACGAAAGGCATTCACGTTCCACTGCTTTGATTCGACTGCTGAGGTTCCTTTTCCTCATCTAAAGGTTGACCGAGAGCTTATTGATTTCTATCTGAAGTATGGACAACCTCAGTACTTGACATGGAGCGCACAGAAAATAATCACTGTCAAGGTACTAAAACCTACGTGTGCTGGGAGATTTGTAAATGTCAATTTCAAAATCACACGAGGTTCTGCAAACTCGGTGTCGATTATATCTCTAGCAGATCTTCTGAATCTAAATCCTCATGATTGGATTTTATTATTCAATATTCTGCTTACAAATCCGAGGGAATATGAACCAATTTTGGAACACTTGAAGAGGATGTTGGCTTCTTACATCCATGAGGTCGCAGCTATGGATCAAGAAATAGCGAAAGTAATGAACAAGAAACCGACCATCAAGCCAACATCGAAACCAGGAGATGTGAATAAGATGAAGATGGGCCAAATAGATTCAAAAACATCTCACTGTGATGTTTACAAAAGGCGAAGCTCACAAATTTTTGTTCGCTCTTGTTGATAAACATTTATTTTCAACTGACTGCTTGGAGCACATCATCAACATTATACATCGGTGGTACATAACGTTCCGTCATCATTTGCTGGCTATTATTCCAAAGGTGTTCAAAACAATAAAGAAGACTTCTGCAGCTCAACCGAAGTGAGCTTTTGGTCCCATTGACGCAAATGAGAGATTGTTGAGTCTAATTGTGTTGCGTCTTGGGCTTTTTGTTTTGTATCCGGATTGGGCCTGTCCATCCGTGATTATCTAGTAGGGTTATACTATAAATATGCATGCATGTATGCGTTAGACCGTGTTGATTATTACGTTAATTGTTTTGTAACCCTAAACACCTCTACAGTTGAAGTTCTCAATCGAGCTCTTATGAGGTGTTGAAGTATTAATCATACGACATATTCAAAGCTATTCTTGTGTTCTTGATTACATTCTTAACTGTTTGCTTGCATAGAATCTAACGATCCTAAAAGAACATTGTTCTAACAATATTTTTTAATTGCACTTCTACAATCTTTTATTTGAGAAATCATGAACATATTAGGTTCTTGATTAGCTAATGTTTTATTATTACTCATTATACTTTGTCATAGAAATTGGGTTTTGTTAAAAGACAGCTTTTATTATAAAGTTTATATACTTTTAAATTGAAAAACTTGAACGGGATAGTTTTATTATTTAAATAAAAGATAGTTTTCAACTTTTCATACCTCTCTTATGCTAGAAGCTCTGTGATTTCTTCGGGTGTCGATATTTCCATTTTCCCTACGTCCTCCTGATTGGGAGTAATTGTTAGTACTAGATCTTTATGACGACTCCATACTTTCGAAATGCAAACAATTGCACAAAAAGATAGATCAAGAAAAACTTCTCTTATTTATAAACAAATTAAAGCCCAACTATTTTTACAATATTAATGTATAAACCCTATATTGTGGTTCACTCACTCATTGCTGAATTTTAAAAAGAATGCTTAAAGGCATTTGTATTTTTCGCTCTCATAAAAATGAACGCATAACTCTCTATTTATAGATCATAGAGAAGATCTCATAATGTCATTTTCTTCATGGCCGACGTTTCTCTCCTCTATCTAAAACATTATTAAAGTAGTAGACCGTTGTTTTATTGGACGCTTAAGTGTTTACAAAAGTAGCACTCAATCAGAGTTGTTCAAAAATTATGTTTTTATAAAAGGTAGTTTTTATTATAGAGTTTATATATTTTTATATTGAAAAACTTTAACGGAATAGTTTTGTTATTTATATAAACTATAATTTTCATACCTCACTTTTGCTAGCAACTCTCTGATTTCTTTGTCAATCATGTTATTGATCATTCATTCATCCCTACATCCTCCTGACCGCCGGTAATTGTTAGTACTAGATCTTTATCACGAACAAGCGATTGGATGTTCGAAATACAGGCAATTGCACAAAAAGATATATAAAGAAAAACTTCTCTATTTATAAACAAACTAAAACCCAAAGATTTTACAATTTTAATCTTTAAATCTTATATTGGGTTTCACTCACTCATTGCAGATTTGTAAACAGAATGCTTAAGACTTTCGTATTTTCGCTCTGATAAAAATGAAAGCATAACTCTCTATTTATAGACCATAAAAAGCATATGATATTGCCATTTTCCGCCATAGCTCACGTTTTCTCTCCATTATCTAAAACCTAGCATTCCATTAGTTGTTTGCTTTTGTCAGAGCATCTTCTGTAAAAATACTTTGTTTTTTTTTTTTTAATTTATAGTTTTAATCGTCAAGTCATGTTTTATTTTGTTTTATGATATTAATTTTTTCGTTGTGTCATTTTTTATAACTTTATATGTATTTTTTTTATATGTTCTCCCGCGTTTAACGCGGATTATAATATAGTTTTTATATATTTTGTAAATTTCTTTACCTTTTTCAGTAATTTTTCCTTTTTGTAAATTATGTCAACCCAACTCATTAGATATGAACGTATTGAATCCTCTAAACCTAAGGGGAAAAATGGCATAAAGTAAAACTATAAGGGTCTTAAAAGAAACAACAGCAATACGCTCCCACTTTTTCAATATCTTCTGTCGTACTCTTCAGTCTTCCCTCCAATAAATTCATCTTGTTCCCAACCAAAATATTTCGAACTCCTCTTTTGATTCCCTCCAAACTTCAAAATCAAAATCAAAATCAAAATCCAGACCTCCATTAATTCATCGTCTATTTATACCTGATCAAGGAAACCGCATGTTTCACATCAATACAGTTCCCCAAAAGATGTCGCTAGCTCCTACTGTTAATCACAGTGATCGCGATCTAATGGCGCAGCCTCTTCGTCCTTCCGGCGAGATTCACGTTATCGTCGGGCCTATGTTCGCCGGTAAAACCACGGCTCTTCTTCGCCGGATCAAATCCGAAGGCACTAACGGCAGGTAATTGAAGTGTTCTTGTTTTGATCTACTCAATTGCTGCATCTTAATTTGATACGTTTAGGTCAGATCACACATGTATGTCGATGATCTACTCAATTGTTGCAACTTAAATGAATATACAGGAATATAGCGATGATAAAGTCGAGCAAGGATACCCGATACGCCATTAATTCAGTTGTAACACACGATGGGACGAAATACCCATGTTGGGCACTTCCTGATCTGTTGTCTTTCAAACAAAAATTTGGAGAAGAAGCTTATGAAAAGGTGGGTTTCCAGAAAATCTTTTAGATCAATTAAGCGAAATTCTATTTTAAATCCTCATATCCTTTGTGGGTATTGCAGCTGGATGTTATTGGAATCGATGAAGCACAGTTCTTTGATGATCTGTATGAATTTTGTTGTACAGCTGCTGATACTGATGGAAAAACTGTCATAGTTGCAGGTCTTGATGGTGATTACTTAAGGTACATTCCATAGCTAAATCATTATTCATTAATCATGTATTTGTCATCAATCATGATTTCTTTTTCTAATTACTTTCAATTTACAGAAGGAACTTTGGTCCAGTTCTTGATATTGTCCCACTTGCTGACACCATAACCAAATTAACAGCTCGATGCGAAGTATGCGGGAAAAAAGCTCATTTCACTTTCAGGAAGACGAAGGAGACAAAAACAGAACTTATAGGTGGGGCAGATATGTATATGCCTGTTTGTCGTCAACATTATGTTAATGGACAAATGGTGATCAAACACTAATACTGTTTTTTTAACGTTTCTATAGTTATTAAACATTAGTACCTTTTGATTTCGAATGTTGTTGATGTGTTTACAACTATGTTGTTGTTGTCTTGTGTGTGTATATATATGAGAAGTTAAAAGAATTATGCTCTTGTTTGATCTCTTTATTGTGTCAATATCTAGGAAAATCAAGAATAGCATTTGATTATTTTGATCATGGATTCATGTGGCATCTTTTTCTTATAAATGATGATGTGATAATATAAATGTTAAACAATCATACAACAAATACAAATGAGAAGGAACAATTTTCAAAGGATTTGAACTATACACCTGCCACATCATTGACAAATGTATAAATACATTTTTTAAATAGGTTTGAAAAAATAGCAATGCCAAAAAATAAAAGTAAATAAAAACTAGACAGTTTAACAACATTTAAAGTTTAGGAGAATAATAAGGTCGATACAAAATGCAAAAAGGCATATAGCCTAATTGGTAATGTATTCGCTTTGGGCAACTTTTTAGAGATTTTAGTTTTAGTTTTTAAGAAAAAAATTTGAAAAAAAAATTCCTTGGATAGGAAGAGTATTGAATTTTTATTTTAAATAAAAAGTTCCGATTCAAAAGTCATTTCAAATAACTTTTGGGTGCTTTTAATTTTTTGATTTTTATATTTTTACTTTTTCAAAAGTTAAATATACTTTTATCGAATATATATGCACAAATAAAGGATTTAACTTCTAGTTTCCAACTAATAACTTTGTTTTGCCAAAAGCGCCCTTTGTATATGAAAGGTTGAATCTCTAAATTATTTTTTCGTTTCATTTCTATTATCGCATCATCATTAAAAGTATGCCACATAATCAGACTGGTTAAACATTGTTATAATCGATAGATAATTATAAACAAGTTATACTATGACTTACCTATAAACCAAAAAAAAATATATTGGCCATATCGATAAAAGAAGCAAATTGCGTTGCTAAAAAGGGACATTTTTACACTGATTTTGGTCAAATGCTAGTTACACTTTGTTTTCTCTTGGGTTTTGTTCTACCAAACAAACTAAATCTTCTAAACACTTTAAGCAACCTACTAGCATACTTCCTTTGTGAAGCAAAATTCACTGTCCCTATACAATTAGTCACTTGACCAATTGGGGTTCTCCTTTTATTCATTGTTCTTCCCTCTAACTCGCCTTTTGTTGAAACCTGTCCACCTTTCTTGGACGTGTTTTGTAATTGAAGGGTTCTTTTCAATGTCATCAATTGTTGTTCAAGTGATTGAATTCTGAAACTTGTAGACTCATATTCTGTCTTGTGTAACTCGGGTTTTTGAGATGATAAATCTTTTTGTATCAAGAAACTGAGTGGTTTGTTTCTCGTGTCTTGTAAATCACATGGACTCTCTACAAGATTTTGGCTTTTTGAGTGTGCGTATCTTGAGCTTGTGAGACTTCCTGAAAAGTCTCCATTGTGTGTGTATCGAAAGGAGTCTGAACATTCTTTTAAGGCTTTGTGTGTGTTTAGTTGTTGAATGAAAAGTGCTTGGACTATTAACCGTAGAGGCATTAATTCGTTTTGCACGGCTTCCACACAAACTTCTTGTGATAGTTTTTGACAGTTGAGGTATCTGCATACCGTACTCTTTTCATCTTGTGACAATTCGGGATGCATCTGCAAAAAGAAAAAGAAAAAAAAAGTATCAATACGTATGTTTTTGTATATAATAAAAAAAAAATCAAGTAAACTATTTCTGAAAATGTTTATTTTCATGTAAGATGTAAATCAAGTATAAAAATAGTATGGTAAGATCATCTCCACTCAATTACACTATTTTTTTTTTGCACCAAAATGATCTAATATTTGATGTAAAGAAGGATGTTTGCAACCCATTACACCATTTTAACACCCAAAAGAAATATCTAAGATATATTTTATCACTTATATTATTTTTATAAAATATATTTATCTTAATTAGCTTTTTATGTTTGAAACATAAAAACTAAATTTAGTATATATATCATAAATTAATATCAAATTAAGTTATTATATATTATTACACGCAACAAAATGTTATCGATTATACCTATAATAAACTAAAAATATATAGAATTCAATGTTGATGAACTAAATTGTATAAAATGAAGTTTAACATCAAATTTGGTATAAATGAATATGATAACATATTTGGTGTTTTATATATGGTGTTTTACTATTCACTAGCACCAAAGAGCCCAATCCATTGGAATTGAAACTCCCACACTTTAAGACTTGAACACTTGACCATTTCTATAAGTATATCACACTATTTGCTACACCTTAAGGTCAAATTCAAGAAAATTATGATACCAAAAGTGAAAGTAAAGAAAGTTACCTGTAGAAAAATATCCAAAGCTTTATAAAGATGATCATGGTTTTGCCTACAAGATACGGGTACAATTTCAATGAGCTCCATAAATCTTTTCAACTCCATATTCATGTCACTAGCTACATGAGTAAGATATGAGTCCCATAATTCCGCAACAACAAAATTATAAGGTGAAGGACTATTATTTCCACACATGTTAAACAAAGCATAAGTCGAAAATATATTCTCTATTATCACCATCTCAATGCCACCTGTCCCACTTTCCGTTTCAAGAAAATCTTCAACTTGCGCCATATGTAACACCCCAGAAATCTGATTTTGTAACTTTAGAGTATACTCCTTGTCTAAATCAAGTTTTAACGATTTAGATAGCAAAATGAAATAAAACCCAACTGGAATTACCTTACTACCCTTTTCACCCATATTAAGCAAATCAAGAATCCCTTTTAGCAACATAGCTATATCTTCTTTCCTTCCATTTTCATCAGAAAGTATAGAGTTCGCATAGAATAATACAATCGGTGTAACGTATTTTTCTTTCATCCCTTGTCTTCTTAAAGACGCGATTACCCTTTTGAAATAACCAAACGGAAGGGCGATAAGGTCTTTTATCCACACATCTTGGCTCAAGATCTCTTGAACCATTTCATCACTCCATTTTTGAAAGCTTAAAGCTTCTAAAGTCACAACGGGTTGATCTCTTCTTCTTTCTGGATCAAGAATCTCCATGCAAGCCATGAAAGCTAAAGATTCAATACATCTACTCACAATCAAAAGCTCTTCAGCCCATGGGACAAGATTTTGACATTGTTGTAGGACAATTAATGTGTCTTCCCAACTTTGTAATACTACTTGGTTTAAATATATATCAAAACGTTCGCATAAGTTGCCTGAAGTGTATTCTTCAGTCATTTCTAGATATTCTGATGCACATCTTAATGCTGCAACATTAAAAGGGTCGACTAATGTGGATGATCCATAGATGAAAAGTGAGATCATTTCAAAAGCCTCGGGTCCACCTGGGAAGTTATCGGGTAACTTAATTTCGTTTGATTCGGTTAGTTTTCTGTTGAAGTATCCGCTTTTGGAGAATAAAGGATACTGTAAAAAAGATCATGAGAAATTTTGTTAAAAAAATTTTAGAATATAAAACTTTTGATAATTTTTTTTTATCTAATCATGATGTGACATTTAATAAATTGATTATCTTTTTGACTGAGCATAAGAGGACCACCAATTTCGTAATTAGTCGAATCATAATTTTTTTAAATGGTACCCACCACAAAAAGTTATATTGCAAAATTGTTCATGTCATTTAGCAAAGAAAAAGAAATAAATTAATTTATTTTTCTCAGCATTTTGTAGTAACAAGTAATTTTGTGAATTTTTGCAATCTCACAATTGACCCACTAAAACCTTAAAAAAATAAATCATTTTTTCGCAATAATATTACAAAATTGTTCATATTTTTCAAAAAAGATTGAAGCTTTTTTTGCAGCCTTTTATCGATAAAAAGTAATTTTATAATTCTTTCGTAATTTCACAATTGACTTGTTGCACAATAGGTAGCCAAATTGTGGTAAAGGTTAAAAAAGGTGGTTAATTTGTTAAATACAATATCATATGAAAGTCATTTTTATGATTACGAATTTATGATGATCCTTTTTTATCCAACTTACCTTGTGAAGATTGAAGATTCTGTTAGCAACATGGACACAAACTGAAGCGGGTAAGCCTGTTTCTTGACTCCTGATTCACGAACACAAAAAGGATATGATTGGAATTCAACAAAAGCAATGAAGAAAATAGATAAAGTTGTGATTTTTTGGCATATAATTTGATTACTTACCATGAAATGATCTTGATCTTGAGAAGGGCAGTGGCATTTGGAGAAGACAAAGGACTTGAAAGTATGGAAGCAGAAACAGAAGTAGAACCAGAAGCATTCATTTGTGAGTATGCAAAGCTTACAAACAAACTCAGAATTTAACCATCTTTTTTGAGTCTTTTAATGTTATAATTGCTTGATCCGGATTTTCTGATGTTATAAAAATGAAAATGGTACGGTGTTATTAGTTCTAGATTAATCCAGAAAACCAGATGATTTTAAAATGGATTTCAGCCGTTGGATGAGTGGGATTGTGTTGGTCAAAGTAGAATGCACACGTGTGTTAGTAGAAGAAATGGTGATTTTTTTAAGGTTTCGAAGTTTGTTTCTTGAATTTTGGGAAGGTTGAAAATGTGATCAAAGGGTGTTAATCTTAACCTTTTTAAACTTCTTACATGTGACGTTTTTGATAATCTATACACTTTTTGTGTCCTAATTCACCTACAAACCCCTCCAACTTGTTTTCTTTTGTTTTTATATTAGAGACTATTTTTTTTTCCTATTTAAAAATATATTTAGTTAGCTGAAAATTTAATTGTTATCTCTGTTAAATTGATAAGCTAGTTGCGGCATGTCAAACACAACCTAAATCTTATTTATTGGATAAATAAGTAATGATATTAGTCTCAATAAAATTTTATATACAAAAGGTACATTTCTTTTGTAGACCGAATAAACCGTTCTCTTTCATTATAAATATAACAACAATAATGATCAATATTAACATGAGATGAGTTGGAAGGAAAAAGAAGACAAATAAGTAAAAAGTTAACGTCTTGAAATATAAGTCAATGTTATTTATTTATTTATTTATTGTTTGTTTGTTTAAGTCATTGTGTACTGATTAAGAAAAAAAAAAGAAACATTCACGTATAACTGTTTATATTAAATGTTTAATATATTAAACTTATATTAAGTAAAAAAAAAATAAGTAACAACTAACAAGTTTTGTTAATATCTAACTTTATGCAAAACTCCTTAAAAATTTGGAGATTTTAATTGGTGAAATTTATTATTTTAAATTAAAATGAAGTGTGAAAGAAAGGAGATGAAGTGAATATGAAGTCTTTTGTGTGGATTGTAGCATAAGTTAACAACCAGGACGGCACGGCTCCTGAAATCCTCCTCTGACTTTTTAATTCCTTATTCTTTGCATTGTTTCCTCCCACACTACTCAATCCCCACAAATCATTTGGAAATTTTAATTTATTGTAGAGTAAATTACACTTTTAGTCCCTACAGTATAATGGTTGTTATGAGTTTAGTCCAATTTTTATTTTTATGTTTTCCATGGTAATATTTTGTCACGCTTTTGGTCACTAACCCTTGCACCATGTACTTTCAAATCATTAAGTACATATAAAATAACTATGTCACCCTTTTTGCTGTATTTTTTATCCCTATGGCATTGGTTTGTCACGTGTTTTGTCATGGACTCTTACACCACATAATTTCGGTTGTTAAATACATGTAAAATGACTATTTTTTTCTCTTCTTTGTATGCATTTTTTGTTGCTTATGTTATCCATGTGTCATATCATTTTGTCATGTTTTTGGTCGCTACCCTCACGTCCCACCATGTAGTTTTGGAAAGAAAATGCATGTAAAATGACTATTTTGTCCTCAGCTGCATCCTAAATTTCTTGCATTTTTTTTTTTATCATTTTGCAATGGTAAGATTCTAGTTGTTAAATACATATATAAAATAACTATTTTGTCCAATGTCATTTATATACCTAGATTTTGATTGCACTTTTATCCATGTGGTGTATCACTTTGTCATTGCCTTTTGTCTATAATCCTTTTGTCATTGCCTTTTGTCTATAATCCTCACGCCAGCCAAGCCGTTATAATGCATGTAAGCTAATTACTTTGTCCTCATTTCATACTCACTTTTGTTTGCATTTTAATCCCCACATTACCATTTTATCACACTTTTGATCCCTAAACCTCACACCATTTATTTTTAGCCGTTAGATTCATGTAAATAACTGTTTTTTCCCTCCATTATATAGTTGTTTTTCTTGCATTTTTCTCCATGGTGTTGGTACCACTTTTTACAATTTCACCTCATGCAATTTCATAAATTAAATGCATATAAAATGACTATTTTGCTATTTATTATATACACATTTTTTTAAATAAAACACAGAAAAATATGCTATAAACTTTTATAAGAATCAAAAGCACTTGAAACTTGAATGAATACAAGTACAAACCCCAACTTTATAAGCCCTAATTTCTAATAAAATCATTACATTCATGAATCAACCTCAAACCATTTTAAACCCTTCTTTCTCACGAACATAAAACAACTAATCGGATGTGAATCCAATACAAAAAATAAAAAATAAAAAAAATAAAAGAACACAATATTATACTTAATATATACACAACATAACAACATATATAACAAAAAAAGGTAAAACTGTATCCCGACAGACAGTCTATGTCACATCAAACACTACAATCACTCTCTTCACTATTAGCCTCCATAAGAAACGGATCCTTAAGGAGATCCGAGGCTGAGGGTCTGACCCGTGGTTGACCAATGCATCTTTCAATGAATGATTTTAGTTCAAGATCGGTTACTTTGTTAAATGCTTGAGGCATTACACCACTTGTAACCTTTCGGTATATTTTAGCAATACTGTCGCATTCGCTATAAGGTATTTCCATTGTGGCCATTTCTAGAAGACACATGCCAAATGAGTAAATGTCAACTAATTCGTTGTAGTCTTCTTCGTAAAGCTCAGGAGCCATGTACTCGGGTGTTCCTAGTAGTGTATGGGCGTTGTGGTTTTTTCCTACTACTGCTGCTAAACCTAGGTCACCGATTTTGACCTGAAAGTTTGTGTATGTATGTGAATATATGTATGTATGTGTATGTGTATATATGAGTATTTTTGTGTATGTATATACATATATGTATAGGTATTTGTATGTGTGTATGTATGTATACGTGTGCATGTATATCTGTATGTGTATATTTGTATATATGTATGTGTATCAATGTATGTATTTGGATGTGTATGTACGGAAGTATATGTATGTGTATGTAAGGAAGTATATGTATGTATCATGTATGTGTATGTACTATGTATCTGTATATGTAGGATATATGTGGAGTCTTTGGTTTACTCTCCAAAAGAGTCATTATGGAGAGAAAAAAACTCCAACATATATGCATGACTATGTGTGTAAACATTTGTATATACATGTATGCATGTATAAAGTGTGTATATATTAGTATTTTTGTGTGTGTACTATGTGTATGTATTTGTATACTTATACGTATATATCTATGTAGAGCAGATAAGCGATAATTTTATAATTATCCTTTAAAAATGTCGCTAATCATTCCCTGATGCTTGATTTTATAGTAGTGATCATGAAAATATTTTTTCTTCCTTCTGTAAGCCAAAAAGAAAAGAGAAATGAATATTTATAGCTATAGGTTCATAATATATATCACAAGCAAGTACTTTAGCAAAAAGTAAACTAATGCTTTTTTTTTTCTATCACTAACAAATACCATATGTTATTCAGTCTCACATTTCCATTAATTTCATTTCTAATGATGATCATGCTTAACACAGAATTAATGATGAACACACTTTCCGTCCCACAAAGAACTTTTGACCAAAAAAGCAAGTCATGTGCTAAATTATTATAATCCTTCATAATGTCATTAATTAAAGAAGAATTTACAGATCACCCATTTGATGTTAGACTTGTATTATTAATTCCGGTTAATGCTAGTTCATGGAGTTTAGATGCATCATATATATTCATATACCAAACTTAAAATGAGCTCCAATGATTTAAAAATGCATGAACAAATATAGAGCTTGAAATAAAAGAAAGTACTTACCTTTCCAATGTTTCCATTGATGAAGATGTTACTGCAATTAAGATCTCTATGAATGATACATGGCTCATGATTATGAAGATACTCCAAGCCTCTCAAAATCTGTCTTGACCAATTCTTCAATGCCTTCAATGAAACCCGTCTGTGTTTCTTCCTGTAATCCCTTAAATTACCTGAAGCACATGCCTCTGTGATGAAGTTCAAGGTGCTGTTTTTAGTATCCCTCCAGAAACTGTAAAGAACAATGATGTTTTCATTCTCTAATGTCTGTAACAGTTTGATTTCTGAAAAGAGTCTCTTGAGAACAGATGGATCTCCACCGAAGCTTCTTAGTTTTACTTGGTTCCATGCCACATCCCTTCCTTCTTCTTGATCAAATCCCCTGTACACCTTCTTCACTGCACCAGCGCCTAACAGATCACTGTATCTCCCAAATCTTCCTGATGGATCAACCTCAACGAACAGTTCTCTGTCTTGATCAGATGTCTCAGGATCTGCAGTTGGCATTGTTCGGAATTTTTTTTCTCTGAACCTGTGATTTCAAACAGAATCCGCCATATTTAGCTAAAAGTTCAAACACCGTGGTTTTTTCCAAAGCTGGTTAAAGAGATTGAACAGGCGTAATTGAGTCTCGTAAGTCGTATCATCTATCAGTTATCGACTCTAGCATTGTGAATTAAGCAAAATTAGTAATGATCCTATACAAACACGAATCATCTACAGTTAGTGTATTCATGAATTCAACATGAACAATAGTTGAACCTCTTCACCAACGAAGTAATCAACACCTTACTCGAACATTTGACATGAATTATCGATTGATCGTTACTCAAAGAGTCCTCGAGTATGATCACCGTTTACACAAATCCATTGTTAGCACTCAATCAAAGTGAATGAGTACAAAATTCAATCGAAACATCGAAATTCTAAGACCTAATTGAATGTATTCAGTGATATAATTACATCACATCAAGCTTTAGGGCTTTGAGAGTAGTCGTAGGAGAAAAGCAAATAATGATCACAAGAAGAGGAAGAAGAAACAACTGAAAAATTAATTCGTAAAACTGATAGTTAATTACCTCGACGAATGCAGAATCAACTAGAAGTTCTTCAAGATCTTCGATTTCTTTAAGTGTTCCAGAGATTACGCGAGCATGAGAGAAGGATGAATGGTTAACCGGCCATGGCTATATATGGGATTGCTTAATGAGGAGAACTACAGAGGTGCACGAGAAGATTATGTGCATTGACGTAGTGTAGTATTTTTTTAATAATATGACGTCGTTTTGGAATAAAATCTAAAGATAAGCTTTGAACGTTTTTCTAAAACAATATGGTGAGTCAAAATATAATGATGTTTGAAAATAGAAATTTATTTTGATTTTTAGAAAACGGTAAACTAGAATGAAATTAAATATTATTATCTTTTACTATCAATATAATAAAAAAGGGGTTTTGTTTTGTATTAAATATTAATAATAAAATTACACTTACTTATGTTTAAATTCCATACTTCTGTTACATTGAAATCACAAAATTCCAAATAATCATTTCTTTAGGTGTCGATATAAGAGTTCAATGAAAAAAGCAAAGCAAAATTCATGTGACACCCGTGCACACCATCCCACTTGAACACACTAATAATAACTTCCATGGTTTTGTTGTTGGCTAAAAAAGTGCTCCCAACAATACATTGAATCAAAATATCAACGAATCACACTAAAAACGACACCTCCCCCTCATATGCAAAATGTGACAATCTTGAGTTAATTGATATTTACACAGGTATCAAAAAAAGATTTGGAGTTAGAAGATATTTAATACAAACTTATGTAAAATGGTTTGTGATGGAGGTGAACATAGACATATATCTGTCTTAATTGTTTGAAACTGGAACTATCGGTTTTTGAAACTTTGAAATTGGAACTGGAACCGAAACTGATTTTAATGGAACTGTTTTTAGTTAAGTTTCATAAAATGCAATCATTAAAAACCATAAAACTAACCATCTATTATCAATTAAAAAGCATTTGTGAGTGTTTACTAATAAGTATTATTGATTCACGGACATAACAAATTGAAATTTAAGTTGAGTATTATTCTCAAATTAAAAATACTCAATGTTTTAAAAACCGGTTTGAACCGGCCGGTCGAACCGGTTAGACCGGGAACGTCGAGAGGGAGCGGTTCAACTATCACCCGTTTTATGTTGATCTCTAAACCGGATTGAACCGACCGGTTTTTAGAAAAATCTGGTTGAACCGGTCAAAATAAACTGGTTGAACCGGTTAAAACGAATAAAAACACATGGAAAAGAACCATTTCCATAATAAACTTTGGTGATTTTTTTCAAATCTATTTAGTTTTCTCTAAATAAAAAATATGGTAAACATTATAAAGTTTTTTTTTATGTTTTTGTATTCATCTAAAACTATATTTTGTTTCGGTATTATATTTTATTTTCTTTTTGACGTATATGAATTAATGTAAAACAATAAAACTTATGGTTATGTGTTATTTTAATGTATTTGGATTGATCTATAACTTATTTTTATGTATATATTTTTAATGTTTGAACTTGTAAACGTCAAATTCTTGATTTATATATGTATGTATGTGTAGAAAAATAGAAAAAAAGATGAAAATTATAGAAACCGGTTGACCCAGCGGTCGAACCGGAAACCGGTCATCATACCGGTTCAACTAAAAAAATGGTTTTTAAAACATTGAAAATACTTATATTTTTTGGCAACTTTGTTATGTATACCTTAAATATGAAACTGTATAAAAAGGAAAATTTTTAAAAGACCATCATGATGTTGTAACCATTGTTGATGCTTTACGTGTGTATATATATATATATATATATATATATATATATATATATATATATATATATAATATATATATATATATATATATATATATATATTAACCACCTATGTCTCCACCGAGACTTGAACCCCTGACCTCTCATATGAGATGGTCACTCCATACCGCTAGGCCATTGGCCCTATAATAAATTGAAAATTAAATTTTTTATTTAACATAAATCCATGATTATATGTTGCTTGGTCTCTCAGATAATCCAAAACAAATGAGCCTTAAAACATCTACATTCTACAATGAAAGATTATATTATAGTTTATTTCTATTTCAATTAATCTTTGTTGAGGTTAATACCAACATTGTGAAGAGTTTTCTTTTATCCTCAACCTCTAAATCTTATATTGTGTTATCCCCATCTCAATATCATTTTCATTTGGCCCCTTCATCGTATTTTGAAATTTAATATTTTATTATATTTGACTAATTAATCCATTTTGTTAAATATATAATATAAAATTGAATATTTTTTATTGTTTTCTGAGAACTACATATTTGATCAACATCAAATATAACTTGCGTTTAAAAAAGATAACTTAGATTAGAGGCTATATAAAATAGGTGGGTCTACATATATAATTATTAAAAAAATAAATAAAACTTGTGCATTGAAGATGATATTTAGAGATAGGGTTTTCTTAAATAAAGTTAGTGGATATGGAAAAAATAACAGGCTATAAAAAGGGTTAACCATCCAAATTATAATTATCACTAAACTCTAACACAAATTCCCCCCCCCCCCCCCCCCCCCCCCCCCCCCAAAAAAAAAATAATAAAAAAATAATAAAAAAACGATCATGGCTACTTCCTTTGTGAAAGTCTTCGCAACTAGAAAATGTGATACATATCAGAGACCTCTATTATCACACAAGTGGTTACGAAGTCCATTTGGGTTTTAAATTTAATCTATATGTAGGCATGTGATCATTACAAGAAATACAATAAACAAATAGAAAGAAAAAAGAAAGGTGCATAGGATTCGTCTTTAAGTAAAAGCAAGAAAGAAAGAAATGTAATCTTAAAACACATTTCCATCATATCTTGAAGCAAACTGTGAATATGAAAATTAAGAAACCTTTTTTTTGCTCATTTGAATGAACCCATGTGGAGTCATGTGATGATGTGAACCTTTTTTGGTGAACGTTTCTTGTAGAAATGCACTACGTAGACTACTGTATAAGCATAGAAATTGTGATCCCAACTTCTCTTTTGTTAACGCCTTAGTGAACATATATGTATAATTCTTGGTATAAAGGATCTCTCCTAATAACAATGTATTATTACTTGCTAATTCCATGATAAAAATAAATGATATATTAATATGAATGTGTTTTGTCTTGCTTGCATTGTGATTGTCACAATAAAGAGTAAAGAGCATTGCATATCCAATTCTTGTTTCATGCCCAAATAAATAGGAAGTTCTTGGGACATGTTTCTTATTAATAAATAAAAAACTAAATAAAATAAAACCAATAAATAATGAAATGAATGTTATCTTAGAAAATAAATTTTAATAATATAACTTGTATATAAACATACTTCATTTCATTCGGAATAAGTATTATATATTTTGCAAATATTTAAAAATATATCTAGACCTAAAATAAACTACAAAATAAAAAGAACTAGATACCATAACATATTAAAATATAATTATAAAAAATCATATTTCATTTTAAAAAGGTTAATTACTATTAAAAATCATATGAATAAAAGTAACTTATAGTTATATGAGAAAATTACAAAAATGGTCTCTATGATATGGCATAATAGGCATCTATAGTCTAACTTCAATAAATAGACAAACTTGGTCCTTGGATATTACAAACTTGGTCCCGGCGTCAGTCACTTGCCGTGTAATGTCCATCACGTGCATAGCATGTAAGGGTATTTTCGTCCTTTTATGTAGCCCGTTCAATTTGCCTTATATATCTTTTTTGCCCAATTTCACAGGAGAATACATATTTTTACCTCTTTTTCTTCATCGTCATCACTTCTTCTCCATCTCCAATTCCGACCTTTGGTTGCTGCCAACGCCACTATACCGCCATTATATCTCTCCCGTCAACCCAACCAATTATTCCTTCCCAAGTTTGTCCATTTTATTGAAGTTGGACTATAGGTGCCTATTATGCCATACCACAAGGACCATTTTGTAATTTTCTCTAGTTATATATCATTCCATTCCGCGAATCTATGAAAAAAAAAGGCACTCCTCCCTCGGTGGACTGAAAATCAACCCATGAAAAGGAATTACATTCCATAAGTAATGGTCAATTCCATTCTTTTATGGCAACCAAACATGATTTTTCACATTCCGTAGTAATACTCCATTCCATTCGCTCTTCAATGACTTTAGTACATACCAAAATATAACATCAAGATTTCTTCATTAAACACAAATCATGCTCAAGAAAAGATTGAAAGGGAATTTTAATGTTTCAATCTGATCTTCCCGAAATCAACAAGCTCAAAGAACAATTTAATACATTCTCGAGTAAACCCACATAGCAACCAAATTAGAAAAAGCATATTCAAATACACAACCTTTAAGAACATAAGAGAGAGTGATCATATATCAAACTTATGCAAACTTAGAGAGAATCACATGAGACTAAAAGTTGTATATCATTCAACAAAAATCTCAAATCATTGGTCAAAACAAAAAGTCAAAGATACATATTACCAAGGAGGATTGGAGCCTTCCCCAACAGATGGTGATCTTGAACTCATGCTACCATCTCTTCCTAACCTGGACACACTTCTTCCAGCTTTTGGTGTAGACAAACCAGGGCTTGATCCACGATAACTTGCACGAAGTGATTCATCAACATTTGAATTTGAAGATTTAGCAATTGCATTTCTCACAAATTTTTGGGCAGCAGGGGAAAGAGTTCGGGCACCTGGACTAGCACTGCCTCCTCTATGCAATGGTGGTTTCTTAAACATCTTAGACCTGTCCCTAAGTTTTCGGGCAGCTTCTCTTGATAAAGAATGAGCTTTTAAGTCTCTTGAAGGTGGAAGTGGGATCTTGAATTGAGGTCCATTACCACTACCACCAATGTCAATTGGAGTATCTTCTGGTTCTAATCTTAAAGGTGTTCCTTCAATTTCTCCCCATGTAATGAAAGGGGATTCATCTACACCTGGTGCAGGAGATGGAGTTCTAACAAAGGTATACCCGTTGTCTGATTTCTTGTTGGATTCAACGTAGAATGGATTTGGGGTTTTTCTTAAATCTTCTAAATCGTATCTTTTGAACTTGTCTCCATCTCTATCTGACATGGACCATTGAACTGGTGTCCCACCTGCTACAGGGTTGTAAAGAACAGATATGGGGTCGTCTTCTTTAGGCTTTGAATCCATCATCTTTCCATGGAAACGTGTGTTGGGTTTGCTGATTTCCTTTGTCATCCCTTTCAATCTTTCAGCCAATTCGTCTTGAGTTAATGGGGCTTCACCTCTATCGGCTGGATGATACATTAATAGATTCTTTGCAGTGTATTTCCAACCTTCTAATGTTGCTACTGGCTGATCGGATGTCCCGTATCCATCTGTGATCCTATCCTTTTTGGCATCCTCGATTAATGCTGTCTCTCGATTCTCACCTTCCAGTAGAAACGCATACCTTTCTCGTTTCTTTCTGTTAACCTTCTCGATGAGTTTGGAAAAACTATCGTTGTCTTCACTTGTATACTTTCTAAAAAACTCATCAAGTGTTAAAGAATCAGCGTCTACAGACCCATCTTCCTTAACAAGTTCCCTACCGGCATTCAAGAGCTCATCCTTCACAAAACTATCGGTACCAGGAGTCCTATCGAACTCCAACGGAGTGGTATTTCTAAAAAAAGTTGAACCAGGTGTCCGAATTTTACCTTCTGTATCCGTAACCGAAGCTTTCCCAGAGCGTCTCTCGATAATCTTCAACTGCGCATCACGGATTTGCATAGGATCACCGGTACGAGTAGCTTCCAGCCAATCAAGTCGGTCTCGGAGCTTAGGTATATCAGGGAAGAAGTCCCGCTCGATGATCTTCTCGATCGTAGCAACGTAGGTGTCCTCGTCGAGGACGGTGGAAGAAGCGCGTTTTCTAGGGTTTTTGGGGGTTGTGGTGAGTAACGAA